GCATGGAGGAGGGTGGAATCTCCACTGAGTGGTGTCCAAGCTGTCTGGGAGAGGCTAAAGAAAGGAGATGGGGATGGCACAATAGTGAATAACTGTTATCAGGACTGATTGTGAGGGTTGGAAATGTAAAGGTAGACGTTTTGTAGCAAAAGGAGGGGAGTGATCGACTTTGCAGTCCAGGAATGGAGGTCCCTAGGACCATCAAGTGAGAAGAGTGGAGTGCAGAGCCTTACCCAGAAAAAAAGTGATGCCAGAGATGGAGGCAAAGATGGAGCGGCTGGGGACTCTAGACCTAGAGAGGGAGACGGGCTGTGGTGCTGATGACCGAGGGGCAGGCTTGTTGGGTATATCCTTTGGTTGGTTGATGATGCACAGAGGGGATTGTAACCATGGCAATGAAATGATATACACTAGGATGAATGTAAAGCTAATGTTCTCCCATGTAAACTGTCACATAATTCACAATAAAACATTTTTTTAAATGAATTAAAGCTTAAATTTAAGAGTTAAGAATTATAAACTATCAGCATAATCTTCATATTTTAAGGTTGTTTCTTAGCTATGACACTACAAGCATGAGCAACAACAAAAAATAATAAAGTGGATATCATTAAAATTAAAAACTTTTGTGCATGAAAGGGCACTATTAAGAAAGTGAAAACAGAACCCAACACACAAGAGAAAGTATTTTAAAATCTACGGCTGATAAGAGACTAGTATCTAAAATATACAGAGATTTCTCACAACTAAACAATAATTTAAAAAAAAATTTTTTTAATGGGCAAAGAACTAGAATACACACATGGGAAAGTACATGAAAAAGATGCTCAACATCATCAGTTATTAAAACTCATTACCATCTTAGTCAATCTTGAATTATAACAACCCTATAGAACTATTATTAACTAAGTTTTCCGTGGCTATAATTTTTCACAGAAATAGAGTGCTTCATCTTTCTCTTGCAGCTGGTGGGTTTGAACCACTGACCAATGTTTAACCCACTGCACCACCAGGACTTCTCATTAGTCATTAGATCCTACTGTCATTGAGATGATTCAGACTCACAGCAATCCTACATAGAGTTTTCCAGTCTGTAAATCATTACAGGATCAAATAGCCTCACCTTTTCTCCCAAGAAACAGCTGAAGAGTTTGAAAAACCAACCTTTCAGTTAGCAGCCCAACACTTATCCCACAACTTCACCAGGGAGAAATGAGAACAAAAATTAAAATGAGACACCACTTCATACCTACTAAACTAGTTGCCAATGAGTCCATTTTGATCTCATGGTATCAGAGTACATAGGGTTTTCAGTGGCTGAATTTTTGGATCACTAGGTCTTTCTTCAGAGGCACCTCTATCGGGCTGACTTGAACCACCACCCTTCTGATTACAAGTCAAATGCTTTACCAAATGCATTAGCTCCCTAGGAACTCCTCACACCTAGTAGAATGGATGTAATTTTTTTAAAATAACATGTTAGAGAAGATGAGGACAAACTGTAACCCTCATGCATTGCTGGAAGAAATATAAATGGTATACCTACTGTAGAAAACATTTGGCCATCCTTTAAAAGTTAAACATAAAGCTATCATATCATTTAGCAATTCCATTTATGTATACCAACATATGTCCACACAAATTTTTTATGATGTTCTAAATTCCGTAAATGTTTAAAAATCCTATGAAGGTTTTAAAAGTGCTATAAATGGTCATAGAAGCACTGTTCATAGCAATCAAAGTGTGGAACCAACACATTAACTAATGAATGCATGTTTAAGCCAAATGTACATCCGTACAATATACTATTATCCAGCCATAAAAAGGAATGAAGTACTGACACTGGCTAAAACACAAATGACTCTTAAAAACACTATACTAAAATGGAAGAAGTCTGAACAAAAAGGTACATATTGTATAATTCCATTTATAGGAAATTTCCAGAATAGACAAATCCATAGAGACCAAAAGTAGATTAGCTGTTGTCACGGGCTGGGGGAGGGGTAAATGGAGAGTGACTGCTTAATGGGTATGGGATTGCTTTTTGGGATGATGAAAATGCTCCAGAATTAGATAGTAGTGATGGCTGAATAACAATATGAATATACTAGAAACCACTGAATTGTACACTTTAAAATGCTTAAAATGAGGCACATTGTTAGGTGAGTTTTCTTCCAATTAAAAAAAAAAATTTTTTTTAAAAAGAAAATTATAAGTCTGGTCTTTAAGAAATGAATTTAAATTTCATCTTAAAGTCCTAAGATACTATTGGAAGATATTTAAACAATTCATAGAATTCGGTTTATATTTTAGGAAGATAAATACTACAATAGCATAGTGCTGTGAATGCCTAAGCCTTAGTACATAAACTTAGCAACATCTGATTTGGATGCTCTGAATCTTAAAACCAAACACCTTGTCAGTAAATCTATTCCGACCCTACAGTACAGAAGAGAACTAGCCTGTAAGACTTACAAGGATGTAATCTTTACGGATCTAGATCTTTCTACTCCATAGTGCCTGGTGGGTTCCAACCACCAATCTTAAGATTAGCAGCCAAATGTTTTAAATGCTGCACCACCAAGAGTCCTTTTCCAAACATTGTTGTTGTTATGTGCCATGGAGTCAGTTCCGACTCATAGCAACCCTGTACAGGGTTTCCGAGGCTGTAAATCTTTACAGGAGCAGAAAGCCTCCTTTTTCTCCCGCGGAGCAGCTGGTAGTTTCAAACTGTTGATATTATGCTACCAAAATTCTGGTTCCTGGATGAATACATTTGATAAATAGTTTTCCTCTAGGTAAGAATTTTCATTTTACATATGCCAACCATTATTCCAAGTACTTTAGAAATTATATTAGCTGATTTAATCTTCACAATAATTCTACTAGTCTATTATCCCCATCATATAGAAAAGCAAATTGAGTCACAAAAAAGATTAAGAAGTGTGTCTAAAATCACACGGCTAAAAGCAATACGCATTTTCAAAACTGGGTTGTTCTTCACAAGTCCGATATAGGCTTTCCCCATTATCCCGAAGTAAAGCATTATTATGAAACATTTTATAAACTGATAAGAAACAAATACCATCAATTTATATGGGAAAAAACATTTCGTGTTCTCAGACCTAAAAAAAATTTCCTACCAAATCAAACTAAGTCACATATAAATTCTAAAATAACACTAACATGTAGTATTCACAGACACAGTTCAAAGCTATGGTAGCTTGATGCTGAGATGCTAAGTGTACTTCCCAAGGAAGGAGCTTAGTGACAACACTGACACCACTCTCGCTGTTCATGATGGCCAGTGCCTCTGTGAGGGCTTATGGCAAAAAAAAGGATGGACACTAGTTCCACTTTTCAACTTTTTTTCATAAAAGCAAAAATCTTAAGATTTCTTTAAGCTTGAAAACACGTACTAACATAGATCTGTTTTGTAAAAACAAAGGGGGAGAGGGTTAAAAGGAACTCTTAAAAAGCGAGGACACTTGTAATTCTTGTGGGATCCTGATTTACTTATTATCATCTTTACTATTTTCTAACAAAAGAACTTCTGTGCATCTGTTCTCAATCTGCTCTTGTCATAATGACCTAATGCAGCAGAGTGAAACTGCCCCATCTTTTCTAGGCTGCAATCTTTCAGGAGCGGAATACCAGATCCTTTTCCTATAGAGCCACTGACTTGAGTTGAATCACCAACCTTTCAGCTAGCAGCTGAGCCAAGGCTCCTTGCTCTCAATTTGTTGTTCTTAAGTGCCACTGGGTCAGTTTTAACTCACAGTAAACTGTGTGCGATTTCCAAGGAACAGGTGGTAGGTATGAACCATTAACTTGGTGGTTAGCAGTCAGTGCTGATGCTACAGTGCTATACCAGGACTTCAATTTAATCCGTTGAACCACAAAGTAGGTGGTTCAAATTCACCAACTCCTCCTTGGAGTTGGAGTCGGAACCACCTCGATGGTACTCAATAACAACATTATTATTCTAGAGTCCTGGTGTAGCATTGTAGGATCAGCAATGGACTGCTAACCACAGGATGGTGGTACAAATCCACCAAAAATTCCTTGGAAACCCTACACAGGGTCATTGAGTTATGAGTCAGAACTAATTCACGGCACTTAACAGCAATAACAACAAAAATTGACTCGAAAGTGACTTGACGGCACGTAACAGCAACAACGAAGTTCTTATAAACTGCCTTTTTTTATTTTAAAAGTTGAAATTGTTCATTTATTTATGAAAAAGTATTATTTGCATTTTAAAATGAGGTTTAATATTCAAGGAAATTGCCATTAGCTATAAATGATAAGGGGAGTCCTGGTGTGGTGCTGTGGGTTAATGTGCCAGAATGCAAAGCCGTTGAACTGCAAGGTCAGTGGTCTAAGAATAAGTAAAAATAACTAAATATATTTTTAGTTCAAATCATCAAAACTACAAAATCTTTACCACAAGATCAGGTTTTATTTAGACATGAAAGCGGAATCTACTATCTATAGCTAATCTCTCTTTTTTTTTTTTTAAATCTACCTTTTCATTCAAGTATCTATTAGTAGTTTTTCATTTTTTGAATCTTGTTTTTTTAAGGCAACACAGCAAACAGGATATATGAAATTACTTTTATGTAGTTTAAAAATCTTAGGAACAGCAAGAAAAGACAGCAACGTTTGTTAGTAAGCAACATTTCTATTCAATAATGGGTTATATATCTCAAGTTAACAGAACAATCCTCCATCACGATTACAAGGGTGCTTTAAAAAGATTGTGAAAATATTTCTTTTATTTCAATTTTCCCACAAACTTTTTGACACCCCTCTTGTATCATCAAACCAAACTAATCTCTCAATTAATTTGATCTTTTATTTTTATAATTATTTGCTATATGTAATAGAAAATACAACCTGAAACAACTTTTTCTAATACAGAATGGCTATTACTAAATTAATATTAAAGGCACCATGGACCAGGAGAACAAAGCTGTGTTGGAAGAAATATAATCAGAATGCTCCTTAAAAGCCAAGATGAGAGACCTAAGGATAGAGATGTCTGCATTGCTCAAGGAGTCCAACCTCTGTTCCTCCAAACTCCACTGATCAGACCTACTCTTGTCTCAGCATTTCTCCAGGACTGGTCTACTCCAGAAGTACAGCACATTCACCTGTCCCCCAGCGACTGTTCTGGTTCCAAGGCTGCAGCTTTCCACTGGACTGGTGAGAAGGTTGTCAGTGTTTTGCTCCTGGGCCTGCTCCCAGCTGCTTATTTGAATCCTTGCTCTGCAATGGACTATTCTCAAGCTGCAGGTCACTGGGGCATGGGACAGGTGGTAACTGACTATGTCCATGAGGATGCACCCCAGAAGGCTGCCAAGGCTGGCCTCCTGGCGCTCTCAGCTTTAACCTTTGCTGGTCTGTGCTACTTCAACTATCATGATGTAGGCATCTGCAAAGCTGTTGCCATGTTGTGGAAGCTCTGACTTTTGACTTGGTGGTGGCTATGTGCCGTTGAGTCGGATCTGACTCATAGCAACCCTGTACAGGGTTTCCAAAGCAGTAAATCTTTATGTGAGCAGAACGCCTCATCTTTCATCTTTCTCCCACAGAACAGCAGGTAGTTTCAAACTGCTGACCTTGCGGTTTGCAGCCTGATTCGTAACCACTATGCTACCATACTTAGTACCTTAAAAAATGAAAATACACCCCCTTTGTCTCTGCTCTGTCACCCCATTCAACCATCAATAAGGAGGAAATAACAGATGTCCCTTGGTGATACAACCCTCTTCTAATCACTTGATTCTTTTCACAATTTAATCTTGGAGGAAAATGTTTGAGAGGAATTAATATTCACATAATAGTGGGACTGCCTTCCATATTCTGGTAAGATAACGGGATTGTCTCCTAAGCTTTTTAGAAGACTCACGGTGTAGCAAAACATTATATATGAGCGTGTACCTTTTAATTTATCAATCTGTTAATGGGAATTCAATTTGTTACTATCAGCATATTACAATCATACCTCTTCGATATTTGTTCTAGGCATGATGGACAATGGAAATGTCTGTTTACTCATAAGTAAAGCTTTTGCAGAAAATTTTTACTGTCTAAAGTTTTTGGAAACATCCTCCTCTGTTTTCTTATGCTCTTCTGTTGATGGTTACATGTCCTAGTGAAACTTCAAAATGAGGAAATGTATAATTTCTGAATTTTAGGAGGTAAAGCTTGGAGAATGTTTGAATATAGAGAAGTTCCATTCCTTGTAAATGTAGTAAAATACAGATTGCAAACTGAGACATATCCTTCAAATGTCCTTAAATAATCTGTCTACAAATATAAAACTGAAAACTAACAAACTGCTATTTTCTTACTTTGGGCATCTCTAATGTGAAAATATATTCTATGAAAACAAAAAAATTAAAAATAAAATAATACATTAAAAAAAAAAGCCAAGATGATCCCCTCCAGTGAACAGTTTTCCTCTTGTCTAGATGGGTCTGGTGAAAGGAGATGGGGATAAGATTCACAGATTCAATAGTTGAGTAGTTGTTATCATACCTAATTGCAATTGTCACAACTGTACAGGTAGAGGCTGTGTAACAAAAGGGGGATAGTTAATCTTGCATTCTAGGAACAGAGGACCCTAGAACAATCAAGAGAGAAAAGCATGAGTTGAACTTGGGACCCTAACCAAAGAAGCAGCGACACCAGAGATGGAGGCAGAGGTGATGGCATGGAGAGATCAAGCAGCTGAGAACACCAGACTCATGTAAAGAGTAAGGCTGTGTGCTGGCGGCCAGGAGACTGGCTTCCAGAATATGTCCTATGGTTGTTTAAACAATTATATATCCCTGTGTGGTTTATTTTTCTGTTTATTTATTTTTTGTTTTTTTGTATATCAAAGAAAATAAGGGGGGGCTCTTGAGAAAAGAAACAATCTATGATGGTTTTGGAGGGAGGAGGAAATGATACATGTGCTAGAGGGTAAACTCGCGTTGACATGGGTGACGGGACAGGCAATATACAACCAGAGGGAGGTTGGCAAAGGAAAGATGGGGGGTGGCAGTAGACACAGGGGGGCATGCAGTGGTTGGGAGTAAATAGAGGTAAATGCTGTTAGCTACTGGTGCATGGAGGGAATCACAACCACATAATGAAGTGAGTTTATGTTTTGTTGAATGTAAAGCTGATGATCTGCTCTGTAAACTTTCACTGAATTCACAATAAAAAGTTATGAAAAAAAAACCCAAAAAGGCTAAATTTGTCTCTCATACTTCAGACACATAATCAGAGGGACCAGCCTCTGGAGAAAAGAAATCATTCTTGGTAAAGTGGAGGGTCAGTGAAAAAGAGGGAGACACCCAACAAGATGGATTGGCACAGGGGCAGCAATAATGGGCTCAAGTGTAGAAGCAACTGTGATGATGGTGCCTGATCAGGCAGTGTTTCTGCAATACAGAGGGTTGTTATGGGTTGAAACTGATTCAATGGTACCCAGCAAGAATTTTCTACGTCTCCTATTCATATTGTTGTTCTATATCACCATTTTCAAGTTTAGGGGCCTCCTGGAATCATTATAGTATAGTCAGGAATAAAGAACAAGACAAAAACCATCTTACTAAAATATTAATTTCTATTCGCTTATGTTGGGTCACTATGGGTCGGAACCGACTCGAGGGCACTTAACAACAACATGTTAAGAAGCACTACCAGAGTACTGAATAAAAATAATGAAAGCAGAATTTAGAAAGAGATTTAGAAATTTAGAATTTAGAAAGAGCACCAACGGATAATGGTAGACGATCACAGAGAGAGAAATCCTAGAAGCAAGAAGCTATAATGACCTTTAATATATGTTGGACCTTCATTATTTCCTTAATTAATTTATTAGGTATGGTTCAATAGAGATTTATACATACAAGACAGGAAAATAATTTAATAGATTCTTTTTAATGTTTAAATATTTTTAAAACACTTTTCTTCCCAGTATGAAATCTTCCTATATTTGACGGGAATTAATGGTCTAACTTTACTAAGTTGGGGCATTGGAAGATAAATAAATCAATACTGAAAGTCCTGGTGTGGATCTGTGCAATAGGCTACAAGGTTGGTTTGAACCACAAGGTCAGCGGTTCAAGCTCACCAGCCACTCCTCGGGAACCCTATACAGGATTGCTATGGGTCAGAACCAACTCAATGGCACTCAACAACAACAACAAAAGCAATGTGGAAGTGTCTCAAAAAGGTAATAAAACACTGCTATTACTGTTAGGATTTTCATTGTAAACTGGTTAACACACGGTTACCGATGAACGGTGTGATAGGAGCAACTGGCAGCACTTTAAAAAATGTGTCTTCATCTAATTCATTACAATATTTCATATTTTTTTAAAATTTCCAGTTGTAAATGTTTAATTCATACCAGAATTGTATCATATTGATGTGTAGCTATTATTTAAGCAGTTCTTTAATGTGATCCAACCTGTAATCTCTTAATTCATACTTGTAAAAATAAAATGTTCATCTGGTATGTTTTTCCTCACTCTTTATTTATATTTTTATTTTTCTGATTTTATCTGTGAATTTCTACCATTTTATCCTATACCTCCATAGTTCTAGAATGACTGGTTCTGTTTCTTTTTACTTAATTTTATTTCTATCTTAATTTTTATGAGACAAAAAAACAGATGCTAAATGGGTATTTTCCATTTAAGAAATGTTGCCTTTTTCTCTGTAGCTGTTCCTTTATCCCACTTCCTCAAAGAAGAACCCAATTCTTCAAATTTGAAACCCCTAACTATACATGATTTTATTTTTTTTAATATATACAAACCATGTTCTTTCAAGAAAGTAGGGAAAATACAGATATAGGATCAAAACGTAAAATCCTATAGTATACAGTTTGTTTTAATGAAAATTACTTTTTTAATATAATTGCAACGGCATTTTTATTTACCTATATAATTAAGTAAATAAAATAGGTTTATTTACCTATCATATTAAGAAGGAGCTCTGGTAGCGTAGTGGTTACGAATAGGGCTGCGAACCGCAAGGTCAGCTTTCTGCTCCTGTAAAGATTTACAGCCTCGGAAACCCTGTACAAGGTCGCTATGAGTAGGAACCGACCCACGGCACATAACAACAACAAGAACAAGATCTTATTAAGAGTTTGACGTGTAACTACAAGACCACCCAAAATATCATTTTAATGGTTATATTATTACCGCAATAAACAGCTAGACAAGTTTCTCAATTTTCAAGGAATCACTACATTAAATAAAAACGTAGTAGCAACAAGGATCCACCACTTGTCTGTCAGATTGTCGTACTGTGATGGCGTATGTGTTGCTATTGCTGGAAGCCATATTGCTGGTATTTTAAATACCAGCAGGGTCACCCATGGTGGGCAGGTTTAGCAGAACTTTCAAACTAAAATAAGACTAGCAAGAAGGAGAGGCAGACCACTCCTGAATGGTTAGCCACTGAATACCTTATTAATTTCAGCAAAGCATTGTCAGCTATAGAGCCAGAAAACAAGTCCATCAGGTTGGAATGTGCTTAAAATACGACTGGGGAAGAGATGCCTCCTCAAAGCAGAGTTGACTATGATGACATGAATGGAGTAAAGCTTTCAGGACTTTCGTTTTGCTGATGGGGCACAACTCAAAACGAGACAAAACAGCTACAGACATCCATTAATAACCAGAACATGGAGTGTACAAAGTAAGAATCTAGGAAAATTGTAAGCTGTCAAAAAGTGAAATGAACTGGAATGCATAAAAATTTATATCCTAGGCGTTAATGAGCTGAAATGGACTGGTATTGGTCATTTTGAATCTGACAATTATATGGTTTACTGTGCTAGGAATAACAAATTGAAGAAGAAAGGTAAGTATGGCGTTCAGTTTCCAAAAGAGCACATCAAGATTTATCATGAAGTACAAAGGGGTCTGTGATAGGATTATATCCACACACCTATAAGGTATAGGAATTGACTTGACGACACTTACCAACATAAGGAAGACCACCAGTCGCATTTTGAGTACCTTCCAACCTGAGGGGCTCATTTTCCGGAACCATTGGTCATTTTGAATCTGACAACCACATGGTTTACTACGCCAGGAATGACAAATTGAAGAAGAATGGTGTTGCATTCATTATCAAAAAGAACATATCCAGATGAGTCAAGAGGTACAAGAGGTTAGGATGGCGAAACTTCATCTCTCATACCTGACATATTGTCAGGAGGGACTAGTTGCTGGAGAATATCGTGTTTGGTAGGGTGGAGGGTCAGAGAAAAAGAGGAAGATCCCAGCGAGATGGATTGGCAAAGTGGCTGCATCAATGAGCTCAAGAGGGGCAACAATAGTGAGGTTGGCCCAGGATCCGGCAGTGTTTTGTTTTGCTGTGTATAAGATCACTATGAGTCGGTACTGACTCCATGGCACATAACAACAACAACAAGGAAGACCAGTTAAAACAT